AGAAATCTCCGCGAGGAAGTCAAAGCTCAAACAACCAAAGCAACCTAAATATCAGGGTATTTGCGAGATATAATATGGCGAAACAAACACATGACCATACAAAGTAAAATCCGCATATACAAGACCTGCGTATAACTTGTTATTAGTTACGCTGTGGAAACAAGGTCTGAAAACTCTACAACAAAAAGAATCATTCGAACAGCAGAGATGAGGAACCTACGAGCCATAGCAAGCTACACCCTGAGAGACCATAACAGAAGCGAAGAACTCTGCGGTGTCCAAGATATAGTCCGAAGCAAACGTCGTGCATGGAGATTGCCGAAAATTGCAAGGGATCAAACAGACTTCCTCGGCGCCAGCCCACAAGGTGGTATGAAAGCTGGAATTCATCATTCCACGTCTCTAGATTATATAGTACAAGGCAAAGGCTTTAAAAAGAAGAAGAAGTTCCTTCTTTTTTATCTTGTTCTTCTATTAAGTTCTATGCATCTAGTAGCTCCCCAAAATGTTGTATCCATCTCCTCATAGCTTCCACAACATCCGGCAGTACACCTCCTTCCTCACTCATTATTGTCTTTGATATAACTTTACTGTCAGATTATTAATAGCTCGTAAAAATAGTTTCTGATTGTTGTTTCTTGGTTCTCTTCTTTGCATGACTAATTCCTTGATTTTTATTTATTGTTTCTTGTAAACTTAATACGTTGAACACTGCTTTGAAATAAAGGCTATGGATTTTAATATTATTATATTATTTATTTATTAGTTCGAAGTTGATTGAAAAAATTATAAATACGTAATATATTTCGTATTCATATTTTTATCACAGAACACTGATGACAGCCATCACAAGCACAGAATCCACTTGGTCAGTCGTTTTACGATTATACAGGAGTATTAATTCTAGTTTTACACTAGCACTATCACTAGAACTAAGACAAGACCTAGAACTAGAATCATTCGGGTTTAGCCGTCTTGAAAGACGTGCGGCTAAACCCGAATGTTTCTAGTTCTAGGTCTAGTGTTAGTTCTAGTTTTAATTGTTATTTAACGCTAAATTCTTGTACATTTAATTGATCCAAAAATATTTTATTTTGATTTAATCCACTTACCTTGCTTATAATTTCATCCATTTACCAATTTTGAATTAAATACAACCTTTAAATCCAATTAATTATGAGTTTTTCATTAAAAAAAACTTAAATTCAACGTCAATTTTGACAAGCACCTGCAATATTTGGATTTTAATCACCATGGTAACTGAGTCAAGTTGGATAACCTTAAAATAATAAAATTTTATTCCGATTTTTTAATCAATTCTAACCAAATTTTTTATTAATTTTAATACAATTCGAAGTCTACGATTATCTCGCATTCATAACTAATTCGTTAATTGTAATTAATTTAAATCGATTCTAATTAAGAGAAATAAATTAAAAATATCTTTTTTTGATTGATAATCCACTTACCTTGTTTATAATCCCCTAGATAAACCAATTTTGAGTTAAATACAGCCTTTTAAACTAATTAAATAAGACTTTTTCCTTAAAAAAAACTTAAATTCAATTTCTATTTTGACAAGCACCTGCAATATTTGGATCTTAATCACCATGGTAACCGAGTCATGTTGGATAACTTAACAATAATAAAATTATAACCGTTAATATTTCGCTTTATATTTTAATTTTTTTTATTTTATATCTGTTTTTTTATATTTTTGTGTATTGTTTTTGCTTTGAATACAAACAAAGTTGCTATGTTTATTTGAATTAAAAAAAGATATATGAGCGCCATCTATCAATAATTTATTAAGTCATTTAATAATAATATTAGATATTAATAAAAAATGTGAAATAATGCAATCTCTTCCAACTTTTATGTAAAACAAATATAAATGACATAGTTCAACAAATGTATTTGTTTCAAATATCAGAAATATGTTTTTTTTTAATTTTTAGTTATAATTTACAGGAAACTGTAAATTTAATTTTTTTGACGACACTAAAAAAAAGTTTATTTTTAGCTTTATTCTAAAACAATAAGAAATAGACCTGTCAAACCCTATATTTTTGTAATCAGAAAAGAATAACGAATTTAATATATTAATCTTATATTTAATCAATTAATCTTTTATTTAATTTATAACTAAGTTAATTTAGTACAAACTTAGTTTCGCTACTGAATATAAGATGTCTCTCGAAAAGTAAGCCATTTTTGAAACANATTTTTTTTGATTTAATCCACTTACCTTGTTTATAATTCCCTAGATAAACCAATTTTGAGTTAAATACATCCTTTTAAACTAATTAAATAAGACTTTTTCCTTAAAAAAAACTTAAATTCAATTCTATTTTGACAAGCACCTGCAATATTTGGATCTTAATCACCATGGTAACCGAGTCAAGTTGGATAACCTAACAATAATAAAATTATAATCGCTAATATTTCGCTTTATATTTAAATTTTTTTTTATTTTATATCTTTTTTTTATGTTTTTGTGTATTGTTTTTGCTTTGAATACAAACAAAGTTGCTGTTTATTTGAATTAAAAAAAGATATATGAGCGCCATCTATCAATAATTTATTAAGTTATTTAATAATAATATTAGATATTAATAAAAAATGTGAAATAATGCAATCTCTTCCAACTTGTGTGTAAAACAAATATAAATGAAATAGTTCAACAAATGTATTTGTTTCAAATATCAGAAATATTTTTTTTTTAATTTTTAGTTATAATTTACAGGAAACTGTAAATTTAATTTCTTTGACGACACTAAAAAAAAGTTTATTTTTAGCTTTATTCTAAAACAATAAGAAATAGACCTGTCAAGCCCTATATTTCTGTAATCAGAAAAGAATAACGAATTTAATATATTAATCTTATATTTAATCAATTAATCTTTTATTTAATTTATAACTAAGTTAATTTAGTACAAACTTAGTTTCGCTACTGAATATAAGATGTCTCTCGAAAAGTAAGCCATTTTTGAAACATAAAAATAATCTTTATTTTTAAATTTATTTTGTTGGTTTGGTCGGAAATAATTTGAACGGATGTTTTATGAAAAGAAATGCATTGTATGGTATTTATTGGTCAAATATCAAAAGCTACAATTATAAATATAACCTTATAATTTCTTTACACTTAATACTTTTGGTTTTATTTTCTTTTTTATGGATTTTTTATATAATAAAATCTTATATTTATTTGTTGGTTACATTATTTCTTTTTTGTTAGGTTAAGATTAAGACACTCTTCTTATTCATTATATCTTCTTATTTACGGATTATAAATTGTAGTAATACTGTCATGTTTAGCAAAAAAAGCACAACGCGATATACTTACGAATAATAACTAAAAATTAAGAAAACGGTCATAACAAAGTAAAAATTAATCTAATACACAAAAAAATAATTTTTTGTTCTTTATCGTCCTTCAGTCTTCGTAACTATAAGTACAAATTAAATTTGATTAACTAGATAAGTAATAAGTTTTATTATCTAACCAAGTTAACAAAGTCTAAGGCTGTAAAAACTACTTACTTCTTTTATACCTATCATATTTATAAGCTAGACACAGCGATACTTTATTAAAAAATAATTATTATTATCTGAGATGTTTACACTTACTTATTCATATNAAAGTTTTTTGTAAGTAAATGCTGAAATGGGTATATAATGCAGGATTAGATCATTTTTCATGGGTTTGTGACATCCGCTCCTTTTGTTGTTATGCAAGTCCTCTTTGAGATCTTCTTTTTAAAAGTTCCTGTTTCGGCACTGTTGAAGATTTGATTCTTTCCTTCCCATGATTTCAATAAAAGTCTTAAAGATCTCGTAGCTCATCGTGTCTCACAGTAAATCCGCAATTTTGTATCTACATTATCTATCTTGTGAGCTGCTTTTTTTATGCAAAAGTCTAGATATTGATGTGCTGAGCTTGTACTAAACACTCTTTGAGGATAGCTACTTAACGTGAAAATAACAAGGAAATCTGTAGTTATATAACGATAAAAAAATCTTCTGATGAAGGTTCTTCATCTTTTCCAATATTCTGCCAATCCTTTGGAGTTCATTGCATCTGTCTTATCTTCTCTCCAGGTTCTCTTGGGTTATCCGCCCTATTATGAGCATTCATTCCATAACTCTTATGCCATCTGTCTGCCGACGTTCTTTTCGCATGTCCTTATGCATTATGTACTTATGTCAATATTAAGTGGTCCTTCCAAGATTCTCGAAGGGCATCTCAATCCAACTGCCAAATAGTTTTTTTGTGAAGAGCTTGTGTTGGAGAACTTTGATAAATTTAACTCTTCGAAGATATCTTTTTTGACGTTCATATTTTCCAATTTCTTCCCCATAAAGCTTGTATGGCATATAATGCAGGATTAGATTATTTTTCATGGATTTGTGACATCCTCTTCTGTTGTTGTTTTATAAATTCTCTTTTACATCTTCTTTTTAACTCAGTTGAAGAGTTAATTCTTTCCTTTCTATAATTTCAGTAAAACTGAAAGATCTCGTAAATTTGTGTCTACACTGTCTAGCTTGCGAGCTGCCTTTCTGCCAAAGTGTAGCTTGTTAAAGTGAAGATAACAAGGAAATCTGTAGTTATTTAACGATGAAATCTAAAAAAAATAAGTTCTTCATCTTTTCTAGTTACGCCAATACCCTGGAGTAAATTGTATCTGCCATATCTTCTCTCTATATTCTCTTGGACGATTCGCTTCGCCCTATGGTGTAGCATTTATTCCATGACTCTTTTANTGTAATCAGAAAAGAATAACGAATTTAATATATTAATCTTATATTTAATCAATTAATCTTTTATTTAATTTATAACTAAGTTAATTTAGTACAAACTTAGTTTCGCTACTGAATATAAGATGTCTCTCGAAAAGTAAGCCATTTTTGAAACATAAAAATAATCTTTATTTTTAAATTTATTTTGTTGGTTTGGTCGGAAATAATTTGAACGGATGTTTTATGAAAAGAAATGCATTGTATGGTATTTATTGGTCAAATATCAAAAGCTACAATTATAAATATAACCTTATAATTTCTTTACACTTAATACTTTTGGTTTTATTTTCTTTTTTATGGATTTTTTATATAATAAAATCTTATATTTATTTGTTGGTTACATTATTTCTTTTTTGTTAGGTTAAGATTAAGACACTCTTCTTATTCATTATATCTTCTTATTTACGGATTATAAATTGTAGTAATACTGTCATGTTTAGCAAAAAAAGCACAACGCGATATACTTACGAATAATAACTAAAAATTAAGAAAACGGTCATAACAAAGTAAAAATTAATCTAATACACAAAAAAATAATTTTTTGTTCTTTATCGTCCTTCAGTCTTCGTAACTATAAGTACAAATTAAATTTGATTAACTAGATAAGTAATAAGTTTTATTATCTAACCAAGTTAACAAAGTCTAAGGCTGTAAAAACTACTTACTTCTTTTATACCTATCATATTTATAAGCTAGACACAGCGATACTTTATTAAAAAATAATTATTATTATCTGAGATGTTTACACTTACTTATTCATATATATATAGAGAACTTTGGCTGGAACCAGTACAAGAACAAGCTAATAATTTTTTGGCACGTTTCTTTACATTAATAATAATGATTTTAATGATATATTTTAACATTTACAAAAAGGAAAATGATTTTTTCGTAGTAGTAGGAGATAACATTTTAATTTGAGTATAACTTTTTTTAAGTAAAAGTTTTAATTTTTTTTTACAAAGTATTTAGATACACGCAACAATTTTTTCGCTTTTCATTTAAATTGCGTGTACCTAGACATAGTTAATTTTAACATAAATTTTGCAAAAAATGTTTTAAACGGCTGAATATTTCCCAATTTCTATCGATTTCATTTGAACTTGTTTTCCATCGTATTCAGCCATTAAAGTTTTCTTTTCCGGATCGGCGTTGTATTGTTGTTCACGATTTTCTGGACTTAACGGTTCTTTTTCAGCCCTGTAATTATCACAACTTCCATTAAAGTACGAAATTAATTATTTTTAAACATGCCCATGTACATCATGCTTAATTTTTGATTAATTAAACATTATTAAATAAAATCATTCGAGCTTTCATCATGCTTTAACATTTTTAAGAAAATTAAACGAAAAATTGAAGAAAATAATTCATTTTCATGCTTAAATAAACAGATAAAAAAAACGTTGGTTAAAAACGTAAAATTATAATTTTTGATTTCATACGAGTCTTTTTTGAATTTCTTACTCGTTTGTTGAGGCCAACTTAATCGGTTGTGGCAAGTTGAGACAATTTGGATGAGCCGGAGCAGCTTTGTAACTACAATAAGGCAGTGGAAATCGCCAACTGTATAAACTAAAATATCCAACGTACTACTGAACTGTGTGTATAACTCAATGATGAAATAAAAATGTACAACCAAATATTTCAAATCAAAAATGAATGTTTTATGTTCCAAATAAAATTATGAAATAAATTGGATTCAACATAAAATTTAAAAATGTTTTTGTTGTAAATAAAAAAAATTTTCTCATTACCTTGAAACTTTCGAATCATCCTCATCGATTCTTTTAGCTCGAATACACTCACAACAAAAAGCGAGTAATCCAGCTCGATTAATGCAAAAACATAGCCCATCGATGATGATTAAAAGGAGGAAAATTGCTCCAATTACGATACCGATGATCACCAGGCTGCTTATCGATGTTGTTTCGTGGGGTTGAACAATTTGATCCAGACCTAATTATAAAATAGTAACGAATTAGATTTTCTTTTAAAAAATAATAGTTAAATGTATATAAAAAAACAAAGATTGTTTATAAAATATTAGTAGCAGCAGAACATGTTAAAAAGGTGATTAAGTGCGTGTTTCTTTCATAATAAGATATTGTTTTTAAAAAGTAATCGTGAAAAATTGTGCGATGATGAATTTGTGATTGTGGTTTTGTATTTGTGATTGTTATTTGGAAAGAATAGTATATTTATATTTATAATATGTCACTTTCAATAAAAATTAAAAGATTTTATGTTTCGAGTACACAGAAATTTCTTTTTTAGCAATTAATAATTTTTTTTTCGATATAACTAATAGCTCAGGAGATTACATCTGGCTAATATTAGTTTCCTTCTTAGGGTTCTTGGACTCAATAAGTTCTACAACTCTGCACATGCAAATATTACGTTCTTAAAATCCATACAGTGAAATTCCCCTAACTCGAATTATTAAGGGAGTGGAAGAAAACTTCGAGTTATGGAGAATTCAAGAAAAATTAATAGAATTTAGTAGAAAAAAATTAGAAATGTACTTTTCTAATACGTATATTTAAAACAGAAACTTTAATACTATTGTAAGTAGAAAATTAATCAATTTTTTTAAAGCTCTTTATCGAAAAAATCTTCTATTAAATGTAAAGAATTATGAATATTATCTGGAACATTCTCTCTTGATAATACAAAGGTTTCAATAAGAGCTTCATCAAATGTAGGCACAGCGATAAGTATTTCATTTTCAAGATTATTATCGCTTTCATCTGATTCTGAAACAATAAGAACATTAGGTTTGTTTTGGTTCAAGAGTCTGTAGTTTCTGAGCCAGCGTATATTTGGTTTGATTCTGTAGTCAAAATTACTTACAGAGCGGATTCGAATATTTTATTCTTTGGTAAATTCGACTTATAGAAGTAAAAATTGAAGAAATTCCATAGTGGTTCAGTTCGAGTTACAGAGAAATTCGACTTAGAGAGATAAAAACACATTTGAAACCTAGTCAAACGCTTGAACTTACGAAAATTATTCGACTTAGAGGATAATTCGAGATATACAGGATGTACAAAAAGTATGGAATAATGGTTCTACAGCTTAAACTTCAGCTTATATTAAAAAAAGTTTTAAATAAAAGTGACTTGAAACTTTTCCGCATATCTTGGCATAGAAATAAAATAAAAATCTTGACGGCAGTCTGAGTTACGACATGGTGAGTGTGTTTTTTAAATGGAACAGCCTGTATATTTTAACGTTTTTGAATTCCTTTGCTGTTGCAAAATGCCATAAGGTTTTAATGCTTTAAACTGTAGTGTCTAAAACGTAGCGACAACCAAATTATGGCGTCATTATGGAATAGACAACCTAAGCCTGTACACGATAATCTTAATCGTTCAGTATCGAAATACTTCTTTTGAAATAAACCAATTTGTAGTTTTTTACATTTTTTGATATAACATAAGCAAAGGTGTTTGGGCGGGGAATATTTCTAAAAATTTCGTAATGATTTGTTATGAATAGTACTCTATCATTACTTGGACACAATAAATCAACAAGCAATGCTAAAAAGCTACTTTATAGTCGAACATAGTGTTAACCCTTTGTGTCCCAAGAAGTCAAAAATTTTGAATCTTTGTGACAGAATTAAAACGCTATCAAAATACACCCAGTAAAGGCTTTTGGAATCAATTTTAGCAAAATATGCAATCCCCTATTTTCTAAGTATCAAAAAAGATGCTAATTTAAAAATTCCTGGAAGCCGTGTTTATTGAAATTAAGGAATGTAACTTATTCTAAATTAAAGCTCAAAGCTTTCTCTTTAAAATGATGTATAATAATTGTAGGGTTGGATTGGCAAAATATTGACAAAAAAAATGTTTGAAACAAAACTTACATTTTCGTATAACATAAAAGTGTCAAAAAAGATGCTAATTTAAAAATTCCTGGAAGCCGTATTTATTGAAATTAAGGAATGAAACTTATTTTAAATTAAAGCTCAAAGCTTTCTCTTTAAAATGATGTATAATAATTGTT